TCTGTTCATGCCCTTATTTTCCTCAGGATCGTGACAGGTTTGTTTTGTGGAGGGGGTTTGTAAAGACCAGATCTTTCCAGCTCCTTTGTCCTTCAGAAATGCCACCATAAAACCCTACCTCCCAGGTGTCTGAATAAACTGAATCCAAGGTTTGTTCATTCCCAAGGCTTTCCCACATTTCCTGATCTGGTGGCTTTCAGCAGACTCCCAGCGTGGTGTCACTCCCAGAAACTGCTGCTTTGGGGTCAATATGAACATTTCTTTTATATTTGATAGAACCACAGAATGGTTTGGGTTGGAAGGGACATCAAAAATTGTCCAATTCCACCATCCCAGGCTGCTCCAGCCTGGCCTTGGGCACTTCCAGGGATCCAGGGACAGCCACAGCTCCTCTGGGAACTCTTTCCAGGTCCTCCCCACCCTCACAGGGAAGGATTTTTTCCCAATGCCTAATCCAAATCTACTCTCATTCATGGTGTCTTCTTCTCTAACTGTGGCCCACCAGCCTAAATAATTCTGGAATTCTTTGATTTGACTAAAATTGAAAGGGTTTTCTTGTTTTTTCTTCTTGTTTTCTTGTTTGGGGTTTTTTTGTGTCTTGCTTTTACAATACTCTCTAAATCTATTTGAGAGTGAGATTTTTAGGCAAGGAACTTGAAGGAAAGGGACAAATCTGGCCATAATTTTTGTGCCCAGGTATTTTTAACATCTGGAATGCGCTGCTGGCTGTGGTAATTCCTCTGCAATACTGTAACACAGCAGGATGCTTTAATGAGAGTTTCGACCCTAAACCCACAACATCAATGAAATTTATAGTTGTTAACATTATTCAAACGGAGTTTTGGGGGTTTCAGTTCCCATTTTATGTTCATGTGGGATGAAAAGTCATTGTGTTGGCGGGCCAGAGTCCTCCTTACACTTGGAATTTCTGTAAAATAATTAAATATTGCTTATTACTCTTGACAGCGCTCCTAGCACTCCACTGCAGGGTGGGGAGGAGGGTATTTATCTAAAAAGCTATGCTAGAACCTCTCTCTTACTATTTCAGCTGCTTTAATATTCTTGAATGCCAAAAGTGCCTTGCTCACATTTTGGAAAATGCCACAAAAATGTTCAAAAAAATGGAAAAATTTACATAAAATTCCAGTATCATCATCTATGATCATATAGATGCCATCTGATATTCTTCCTGATGAGCAAATTTATCTTCAGACATTTCATGTTTCCATATTCTTGCATCTCATTGTGGTCTTCAGAATTAATACACAGAGCAAGATGGTTAAAGAGCACCCCAAAAAAAAAATAAAATAGAAAATAAAATAAAAAAATTCAGAAGTTCTTGAAGGAAAAAATTTTGGATTAAAAAAAGCGGTGAGCACTCTGATTAAGGCACTCTGCACAAAAACGAAATTGTGAAGTCTGCAACTGATTAAGTTGAAAGAAAAGAAGGGAAGTCAATATGTAAAAAAGTGCACGTACAGTTAATCTTTCTGGTAAGGAAAATCCAAGTTGTTTCTCCCAGAAAATTAAAAAAAAAACCCCAAACTAACAAGCACACACCATGTACAGAGCTCTGAAGTTGGGAGAAGGCAGGCAGGAGGCTGTGTGGAGACTTTTATTATCATTGGCTTCATGTTAATTCCAGCACAATCTCAGGAAGTCGTAAAAATCAATCTGTGTGTCTCTTGGTGTATCAGTCTGGGAATTAACAACTTCCCCATGTTGTGTCCTTTAAAGAATTTCTTCGTGACCCTTGAAAGTCCAGCCTCAGTCTCTCCATGTAATAAGTTGTTACCTGCTGCCAAGTCTCCAAGAGCTGCATCATCTGTTCTCCTAATTGTATCTCTTTGGTGTAGAAGCCTGTGTTTTGCATTCCTAATTAGCTTTTTTCCTGCTCTGTTTATTTTCCTCCCCTCATGGCAGCACATGATTTTTATTTTATTTTTCCGTTATTTAAAAACAGATACGTGAAGGGAGAAGTGGCAGAAATCAGTGTGTTTCAACAAAGCCTGTAGCTCTGTGCCCAAGTTTAAATTAGATTTTGATGTTGTAAAAGCGTGGACTGGGTGTTGTAATCAGGCTGCTCCCAGGAGACAGGGATGAGACCTCCTGAGCTTTGGGGGATTTTCCCCCTGAGGGGCTGGAGCGTGTCCAGGGAAGGGAAGGGTCTGGGAAAATCCTGTGGAGCTCCCTGAGGGAGCTGGGAAGGGGCTGGAGCCCCAGGAGGGGCTGAGGGAGCTGGGAAAGGGGCTCAGCCTGGAGCAAAGGAGGCTCAGGGGGCCCTTGTGGCTCTGCACAAGTCCCTGGCAGGAGGGGACAGCCGGGGGGGGTTGGGCTCTGCTGCCATGTCCCAAGGGAAAGGAGGAGAGGAAATGGCCTCAAATGGCACCAGGGGAAACTCAGGTTGGAGATTGGGAAAGAAAATTTCCCTGGAAGAGTGGTCAGGCCTTGGGATGAGCTGCCCAGGGAGGTTTGGAGTCGCTGGAATTGTCCCAGAGGAGTCTGGATGTGGCCCTTGGGGACAGGGTTTGGGGTGATGCTGATGGGACTGGGATGGCACTGGATGGTCCTGGAGGGCTCTTCCAGCCTTGATGATTCTGGGATTTAGTGTCCAGAGGTAAAATTTCCTGCTCAGGGTGGTAGATGAGTGGACCTGGTCTCAGTGTGTGATCCATGGTGTCCGAAGGAGACAATTATCAAGGTGTGTTTCATGGAAGGTGACTGGCAAAGAGATTTTCTGGCTGTTGGCCTTTGATGACACCTCCATGACTTGGGAGTAATGTGGGAAAACATTGTGGGGCCTGGTACAGCCCATGGCAGGGGATGGAACTGGATCATCTTCAAGGTCCCTTCCAACCCAAACCATTGCAGGACTCTGCGATTTGTAATTAACAAAGGCATTTGTGATCCTGACATCACTTGGGCTTTCCAGTAACCTCATCATCATGAAAGCAGAATCAGAATCAGAGAATCACCAGGTTGGAAGAGACCTTCAAGATCATCGAGTCCAATCCATCCCTGACACCTCAACCAAACCATGGCACCGAGTGCCACATCCAATCCTTTTATAAACACATCCAGGGATGGTGACTCCACCACCTCCCCAGCAGACAATTCCAATACTTTATCACCCTTTCCATAAAAAACTTTCTCCTGACATCCAGCCTAAACTGAGTTAGGCATTTGAGAGATGCTCTGAAATCTCTGGGTTTCTTGCATTTTGGTGCTGCCACAGCCCCAGGAGTTGCTGATGTTCCATTTTTCAGCGTGTGGAGCCGGAGCAATGAATGGTTCCTCATCTTGTCACCAGCACAAAGCCATTGTGTCTGTGGGACACTCCCAGCTCATGCTCCTCCTCAATTGCAGAGCTTGAAACAGCTCCCAAACCCATCTGAAATCCTGGGGAGATCATTGTGAATGGTACTTTTTTCTCTGATCTGGGCTGCCCTTACCCCCAAGACAAGATTGCTTTGATAGGAATGAACAACTTCATGTTTGTGCCTGTGGGAGAAGCAGATCTGTGGGCTAGGCATCAATTTTTGGGCTTACAGGCAACATCTTGAAAATGTTATATCTCTTAAATAACTCTTCCTGAAAACGTGAAATGGAGGAGGATCATGGTACCGTTCAGATCTGTTTAAAAGTGGCTCGAGCCAAGTTCTCACAGTAGAGATTTTCCTTTCCTTTCCTTTCCTTTCCTTTCCTTTCCTTTCCTTTCCTTTCCTTTCCTTTCCTTTCCTTTCCTTTCCTTTCCTTTCCTTTC